AACATCCTAACTGTAGATTTAGGGTTTCTTGAAAGTATTTAGGTGTACCATTGTAAGAAATGAAACCTACAATCAGCAATACACTTCTAATTGTGTGATATTCACGGTATCTTTAAATTACCTTCAGATAAAACCAATGTGATAGAGATTGATTTTAAAAAGATTCCAGATTTTATTTTTTTTTAGATTGAAAAAACACGAAGGACAAAATTTCTTCGGATCAAAACACTTTCGAGAAATGGAATAAGTTGGTGAGATATTAAAAACTGGTTGAAACTGAACCAGTGGTGTAGGGGGAAGAAGTCCCTCAATACATTTTAAACAAAATCTCATATAGCCCCTGAAACTGTTCAAGTGGCAGACAAAATAAATTACCATAAATTATACGCCAAGACAACTTAAAAACAAAACAGCTTGACGCTAAGGATTTCCTTAGCGCTTCCAGGAAGTGTGTAACACTGCTTCTGGCCCGCAGGTCGGGTCGGCAACCGTCAAATGTCAGGATAGTTGCAGTAGTAGACCGCTGAGCTAGCGTCGGACACCACGGAGGAAATGGCTCCGTGGCTGTCTGAGAGGTTCACACCGCAGTCATGTCCCTGGTAGGGAAGACCCATCTCCGGCTTATACACAAAATGTAGATACTGTTCGAATTCCGTGCGGTCCACCTCCCCTAGGAGCTCGGTGGGCTGGTTGGGGTCCGTGCCCTCCCGGCAGGGCAGAGCCTCGGGAGGGGGCGAAGGCTGCCCCGGGCCATGCGCGGGGTGCTGATGCTGCTGAGGAGGCGGCGGCGGCTGCGGCGGTGCCTGCGGTTGCAGCGGCTGCTGGGGTTGCGGGTGGAAACCGCGCCCGGCGCTTGCGGCGGGGGAGCCCATGGCGCCGTAGTACAGGTGCAAGGCGCTGGGGGGCGCCAGGATCCCCGGCATCGCAGGACCCGAGGGGTCTGGTCCCACTCGCATGGGGCCCGCGGGAGGCTCGGCGGGCACCGTGTAGTCCGAGACCTGTGCGTAAGTGTAGGCGCTGGCCCCCGGGCACTCTCCCGGCAGCGGTGCAGCGAAGAAGGCCGGGTCCTGCTCCACGCCATCCAGCGGGGATGTGTCCGGAGTGGGCAGAGGGTAGCCGTCGAGCGCAGGGGCGCCTAGGCCCTGGCAATCGCGGTAGTGGGCACCCATATGCGGGGGCAGCAGCGGCGGGCCGGCCGCGAACCCGGGCTCCGGGAAAGGCAAGCCCAGGCCGTCCATAGCCACGCGACCGCCCTCCGGGCCCAGCGCGCCAGCCTGGGGCTCCGCCAGAGCGTGCAGGAAGCCTCCCTCCACCCGCTTCATGCGCTTCACCTGCTTGCGCCGCCGCGGCCGGTACTTGTAGTTTGGGTGATCCTGCATGTGCTGCACGCGCAGCCGTTCGGCCTCCTCCACGAAGGGCCGCTTCTCCGCCAACGTCAATGCCTTCCAGGACTTGCCTGCAGGGGAGGTGGAAAGGCCCGCGGGGTTACCCAACTGAGTCCCCCGCACCCAGGAGCCTCTCTCGTGCAACTTTCAACTGGGCGACCCGTCGAGAAACCGAGTCGAATTAGGATGAAAGTCTTGGGCCTCCTTAAAGGCCTTCTAGAGGAGCCTGCCTCCCATACTTATCTCCCCTTAATTGGAAAAACTAGCAAAGTTCTCTGGGCCGGGAAGGGGTCGGACCAGTGGTGTCCCGGTGGCCATTCAGAAGCGCTGAGAAACCCTTGTATTTGCCTTTGGGTGCCCAAAGACCAAAGCCCCCAAAGACCAAAGCCAAATGTTGCTTTGATGAGAGAGGGAGCCGGAGGAAGGGAGAGTCGATAGCACACAGGTTTTGTCGGGCGCAAGACTGGGGGGGGGGGGGAGACTTTGGCTTTAGAAGTGGCTCAGCGATTCGCTGGAGCGCGCAAAGTGGCCTGGGTCCCCGAGACTCACCTAGCATCTTGCTCAGCTCCGCGTTGTGCAAATCCGGGTTCTGTTGTGCCAGCCGCTTGCGCTCGTCTTTAGCCCACACCATAAAGGCGTTCATCGGCCGCCGAATCCGGGACTCTGCCTTGGCTCGACTCGAGGTCCCGGCTGGCGCCCCGCTACTCGCCACCACCTCGCCTTTCACCTTCACGTCCCCGAGGGGGCTCAGGGACTCGGCCCAGGGGCAGGGGCCCAACCCTGCCATCACCGCGGGCAGCGCGCTCCGGGGCTGGCTCTGGTCGTCACTGGCGTATCCCGCATCCGGGCTGCTCATGGCGCTCCAGACCGACCCCGCGCTCCGCTACCCGCCACGGGACACGCCGCTTCCCCCGACCCTGAGGCAGGGATGGGGAGCTAGCTCAGAGATGCCCAGAGGGACGCGTTAAGTCCGCGCGGGCTCGAACCTCCCGCTGCTCTCCTGGCTAGTCCTAAACTACCGCGCCGAGGGCGACCCAGTTCTACCCAGTAACACTGTGGGTGTCCCCGGGCCGCCGGCCCTTTTCTATATAGATGCGGCCAATGGCGCGGCGGGGGCGGGCCGGACCCTAGTCGTTCTGCCTCCGCCCAGCCGGTGGTCCGAGTCCCAAGTCCCTATTCAACCCCACACCCGCCCCTTTCCCCTCCCCCGGTGGAGCGCCAGGACTACACCTGCCAGGGGGAGAAACTGGCTGGAGCCGGGCTCTGGCGCCAAGTCCTCTCTCTGACTCGGGAAATAGGAGTGCTGAAATTCAGCTGTCTAGGGGTGCTCACTGTCCCGGAAGATTGGAGCACTAGCCACAAGGTGGTTCACATTAACATACTAGATATCCACTCCACTCTTTGGGAAAAAAAAAAAAAAAAAAAAAAACACTTTATTACCGGAGGCAATCACCTTCATATGGTGTTTTTCAGGGGAAAAAAATCCTGTTCTCCCAAGAACTCATCATGTTTTACATCCTATTAAAAATGTCGAAGGTAAATTGTATTTTTTAAAAAACAAAGTTTAACATAAAATGTTACATCGCCGATATTTCACCCATGAATCAAAAGTTCAAGTCAACCCTGGAAAATTCTATATCAAACACAAAATACACATCAGAAAAGCTGCTCGTGTGTGTTTAATAAAAGAGGCAAGGCCTGGTTTTATTTCTAAAGACTTACAAGAGGCCATAGTTCCATCCCAAAGATCACAAAAAATATATAAAATAAAAGGCAAAGAGAGCGGTGCTGTGATGTTCGTTAGAGGAAAAGAGTCAGCCCATTTAAACAACAAAACCCACAATGTTTAATATGGTTACCCTAACAGATGGTTGCACAGAATTTCTATATATATTTCTAAAGGCTGGAAGGAAAAACTCGAGAGCACTTAAATTTACCCAGACCCGAACATACTTTTCTATGGGCTTCTAGACATGTCGGTCCTGCTCTACAGTGCTTATCCCAGAAGCCACTCACTCAGCACCCTGCGAAACTTAGGAAACTAATTTAGCCCCTAACCAGTCTCTTGAATGGGCAGCCTTATAGCTTCTAAGAGAGGAAGCAGACTAAGAGGCTAGCACAAGCCCTGGGAGGATATTACTCACAGTGAGCAGCCGGCCTTCAGACCAGAAGCTCCCAAAGAATGCAAGTTCGGAGCTGCTTTTGTGTTTGTTTGCATACTGGTGTTTTCTAAGAGGACCGACGTGGTCATTTTGCATCATTTTGAGGGAGGAAAATTCAAAGACTGGGGACATAACTCAAAATGCTTATCTAGCAGGCAAGAAGAACTCAGCAGAGGCAGGAAAGGTAAGAAGTTCAAGATCACCCTCCTCTAGAGTTAGAGGCCAGTCTGAGCTACCTGCAATCCTGTCTGGGGCTGAGAAGGGGGAAGGGGGAAGAAGGGGGAAGAAAACTCTGTAACAATGTAGTTTCCAGAGCAGATTTAGTTTACTATAGAGGCTAATTGATAAGTATCAGCTAACTTATCCTGGGGTGGTCCTTCATGCATCCACGAGGTTAAGGCTTTCTTGTGTGTTGTTTCAGAGAGCAAACCTGGCTTACTTCAGGTTCCAAAAGGCACAGAGCTTTTGCTACCTCCTGGTCTGCAGTTTCTAAAATGACTTTTTCTACAAAGAACTTGTATGGAAGGCAGCTTTTCTTGCATTTGTTATGTTGTAAAGCAATGGCGACGCTCTCTCGGGGTTACAGCTGGAACTGTGCAGTGATTGTAGTTGAAGCTTCGGGTTTATAAGCTTCATGTGGGGGGGGCTTCAATCTGCCTGGAGAAATCAAAGCAAATGTTATTTTTAACTGGCGATTTGGAAGTAAATGATCTAATATTAGCCGGTGATGCGCTTTTCCTCAAAGCCTTGAGTTTTTCTAAAGAGCTTATTGGCTTGAAAGTAAGAGGAGAAATGCATTGCAAATGTTTAAGTAAGGGAACTATAGGGGTAGAGACAACAATATTACAAATTAACCTCCTAGGCAGGTGCTCTTTAAAAAAAAATCTATTTTGTTGCTTATTTGTTTTGAAAGAGGGTCCTGCCTCCCAGCCTCAGTATCACAACAGGCCTTGACCTCCACAGTGGTAACAGACATCTTTTCGAAGATCTCAGGGCCGACTTTTCTTCCTGTGAAATCTTGTATAAACTGAGTTTTGTTTGGAATGAAGACTGAAAACAGTACCGGGTTCAGAATGCATTTTCTGTCTTCTCTGTCTTGACTGATTTCTTCGAAAGATTCAGGTGGAGGCTAGAAAAAGTATTTGCACATTTTTTACCTGGGTTTCTCCTTCTGTTCGCGCTCGGCGAAGGGGACCTAGAATACCCAGAAAGTGGTGGAAAAGAAAACCCAAGGGCGCCCCACCGCTATTTGCACTCATTCCTGGAGATTAACTCCTTTTCTGTGTGAGACAAAGAACAAAGCTCTAGGAGTCGAAGCGTCCACATTTTGGCTTTTCTTCCCTCAGAGAAACCACCTCCCCTGGAGTCACAAGGTAGCGCTTTTCCTAACAAATCTATCAGAAAAATATGGCACTTTCCCAAGACTAGTCCCCTCCCCACCCTCTTACCTAGTTCTAACTTCTGCTGAGCATTCTCTTGACAGAGACTTTGGGAGGAGTGTTGGGGGCAACCTCACTGCAGACCCGCCCGCGGTGTGAGTGGACCATATTTCAGTTTCTTCACTAAAGGAGTGTTGGAAGCGGAGCTCACGACGTTATCAAAGCCAGCCACAAATGCCACATGTAAAGAAGCAAACATCCGGAGCGGCTTCCTGCAAGCCTTGCTTTCCTCAACTCTAGAGATTTACTGGGGTGGGGGTGGGTATCTGGAGTACGAGCCTGGCGCGCCTGTCTGCTGCGGCTGGCGGCAGCGGTGGGTGTCACAACTCGTACACTGCAGAAACTCTGGGAGGCTACTGACTGCGCCACGTCCCCAAGGGTCGAATGGCTGGGCAAAGAAGCGACAAAAGTAACAAGAAGCCGAGCCCGCGACCTCTTGAGGCTTGTAGCAAGCGGGTAGGTGATCAACAATGGCTCCCTAACAGAAGTCAAAGCTATGCCCTACCGCGAACCTCTGAGTGAGCTGTGATATCCCGCAGGTTTTGTGGGGGTTTTGGTGTTCGGATGTCCAGGGCCTGTTAAAAGACACTTAAGTCCATTGCGCAGGATCTGTGGACACCAAGGTAGATCCGTGGTCTTTGGAGGTCAAGTTCATGGGGGGGAAGAAAGGGGTGCACGGGCCGTCACCCTGGGGACCTCCCCCCCACCGCAGGCTCTAAGATAAAGAGATAGTAGTACAGTTGGACCACCTAAAACCAGTGAGTGCTTCTGCCTTCTGCACCTGCCTCTGGGAGCAAGGAGAGTAGCTGCGTGCCACAGATAGTCGTGCCCAAGGCTCCGCACCTTCCAGGTAGGGCCACGCAGAGCGACGTTGCCGATTGGCATGTGGCACCCGGTCACCAAACGGGCGCCGTCACTCCTCCTGTCTACCTTTTGCGCTTGTCCCCGGTCCCTGGTCAGTCCTGGGACCGTGATGGAGATCAAAATTCGCGAGCGGGACAGGAGAGAAAGCGAAGGGTGGGAAGAAAGATAGCGTCACCAGCCCTTACGGTGGTCCGGTGGTCCGTTAGGGTAAGACCTTGCAGTCTTGGCTACACCCACCTTTCCCACCAGAGCTGAGAAAATTCAACCCCAAGATTAAGTCGGGGACTGATTCCCCCACAAGGATGTGAGCGTGCATCCTAAGTGGGCGGGATCTCATGTAACCCTGTTCTGATTCCTCTCTAATTTGTGGCTCCTCTCCCTCCGGCTACCCCCAAGCCCCACCCTAGCAGCTGGCGACTCTTAAGACGGAGTCCTCCTTCCCGCTTGGCCCTGCCTGAGGTTTGCGCAGCGAAGCAGGAAATGCGCGGTTCCCGCTTCACTTCCCAGCTCAGAAACTGATCGGGAATGTTTCTTAGAACCCACATCCCCGACTGTGAACCCTAGATGAAGTATGGATTCTTTCTCTTTATTGCCTGTGGAACTTCAGGTTCTCTTGGTAATGTGGTCAGAGAGCAAGGAATAAAGCCTTGCTCACATTTCTCTGGGGTCTTCCTCGAACTTCCAAGGGAATTTAAAGTGTGTCTTGGGTTTTATAGGTGGTGACTACTTGGGTTTTGTAGGCGGTGTGTTACCATTGCTGTCACCCACACCCTAGAAGAGACCAGGGCTTTCTTGGAGAGTTATAATCCTCACCTGACATCCTGAGCCGCATATTCACTGTGAGCAGAGCGCTTGCGCTCCTACGGAAAGAGTGCAGAGGGGCAGGGCATGCTTCCCTGGAATGCCTGGTGTGGTGCCATTCCTTTGATTTATTAAAATCCAGCTGCACGTTCTCAGACTATGCTCCTATAATAATATGATCCCGGCAGGTGTAAGTGATGCTGACCACAGCGGGTCTAGCGCACTGTGCTTTGTTTCTGTAGCAGAGGCAGCAAGTGCCTTTCCACCCTGAAAACTCTGCTTCTAAGATTCCCTCTAGGAGGACTGACTTCATGGTGCCAGATGGTTGGTTAGGGCAAAGTGTGCATTCGGTGATCATAGAAAGGATCACAGTTAAGTAGGGTGGAGGACCTGCCACTCCTAAGGGCACTCATTACCTCCTGTATGCACCTCGCTGGAACCTAATTTAACTTCCAAAGCTTAAAAGCAGAAAAGAGAACATTAGGAAGCCTTTGTGGGTTCCGCAGCTGCTCACAGCTGAATATTACCTGAACGTTCTTCTCTATCCATTTGTTGGACTTGCCAACAGCTTTGACTTTGATTTATTCATAGCAGCACGGGTCCTTATGGTCACTTCATCTTTCGCCCAAGATCACACAATTCACCAGTCTTTAATGAATACTTAGGAAGAGCAGAATGGTTGTTGTATAGATCAGTCCTGGTGTCTTACTTCTAAGTGAAACACTAAGAACCATCTCAATAGACCGTTAATAACTCATCTATTTAGGCCAGTAGCCACAGGGTTCTGGAGAGTAATATTCTCTCCCCTTCTCCTTCAACAATTCACAACAATTCTGCAACTGAAATCACACATTACTGGACATTTAAACCCTAAGGTGATTCTTAATGCTTTCAGTGCTGAAATCCAGGCTGAAGGTACACGGATAGTTTTACACATACCTATGACACAAATGTAAATGTCTGCCTTTGGGGGCATTTTTGGAAGTAATCTTTGAAATTAATTTCTTCACAAACCCGGTATTGTTTACAAAGCAGTTTCCTGAGCTTGTCTAACACTCACAACTGTCCTGGAGGTTTGTGAGTCAGCTACACCTTAGTCTCCCAGGAGACTGAGGTAGAGAGAGGATGGGGGCTGGAGGTCACATAACAAGGCTTCTCGGACCATCTAATTTCCCTAGCTGTCAACAGTTACAGATCGCATTTTGAATTTCTTTCTGTGCCATGTTTACAAATAATGAGAGACAAATTGGAATTTCAAGATCTAAATAAAAAAAAAGAATTTGGTAGTGATGGATTAAGGATCCTTGGACAGGATGCAATGTTCTTATTAATTGGGTCGGGATAGTTTTGATATCAAAAATACAGCAATTCAAAGGGAAAGCATATCTGGACTATCTAGGGTTTCTTTTTTTTTTTTTTAAAGAGACAGACTAAGCCTTACATGACATTTCATTTGATTCTTGTCTCCGACAGACAAATTTTAATTTAGTTGAACTACATGAGGTCAAAGATGGACCTAAAGTTCATGTAAAAGGAAACCAAAGTTTTAACATTGTGTGCCATGTTCTCTCAGGCTGTAAAGACATGATAATCCATGACAAACCATTGAGATCTCATTCATCACCTATTTTAGCCACCATGCTTCGATATACATTATCAAGACTATTTTAAAGGCATAAAATACAGCAATTAGATAAATTATCTGTATTCTAATTGATCTTAAGGAGAGAAAATTTTTAATTATTTTGCTTTAAAACAGAAAATTAAAGTACAAAGCAATGTAGTGATTTGCTTGATGCTTCCAATAATCTCAAGAGATAAGGCTGTTCATCTAATCAACAAAGAATTATCCGGTCCCACTGAGTATACAGTTGAGTGCATCCCAACTTGTCTGGTAGTGAGGAAAAGCATGGGGGATGCAATCGCTGTTGCTAAGGACTGAGTTCTACTTCCGCAGCTCACTAGCTGCTTATCTTTGGAATGTCATGAAATCTTTTTAAAACTCATCTGAAACACCAATGACTTATGAGATTTTTACGACGATGAGAGAAGCCCATTGTTCATGAACTCTTTAAAACAGGGCCAGGAACGTAGGAAGTATGGACACATTTAAATGCCTGAAAATGCACCGAGAGAGAAAGAGAAGCTCCCTTTGTGCAGGGCATAGCAAATGGAGCTGCAGAACGAGTCTGACTCATAGCACACTACCATTCTGATAGAACTATCTACTACTGTCATGCCTTCGTCAAAGTTTATTGCAACTTCTTAGGGAGGCTGCTGTAAACTATTGTGTGTTTTCTGATTGTATTTGAACATGACCTTTTTTTTTAACTCTTGTAGTAAGAAAAAATTTGGGAGAAGACATATTAGCCTTCTAAAACCCAAAGCCTAGGAGCTTAGGCTCAGTGGTTAAGACACTGGATGCTTATCTAGATGACCTCGGTTTGATTCCCAGAACCCACATAGCAGCCCATAATCACCCCTAACTTTTGTTCCTAGGAATCTGATACCCTCTCTAACCTTTGAGGACACTAGGCATGGGGTGCACATACATACATGTAAGCAAAATGACCGTACACATAAAATAAATAAATCTATTAAGAATAAATAAATAAAACCCAAAGCAGCCTCACAAGAAAAAAATACACAGAATCATAAGATATTTAACATTCCATTTAAAAAAAGGAAAGAAACACAAAGAAACACCTTGCATGACAACACTTGCCTGCTTAAGCCTAGTAGGAGCCTCGATCCTTTCCCTGAATCTTTAAAAACAAAGTTAATTTTGGTGTCTATGCAGAGACACAGACACATCCGTGCTCTGCAAAGGATGGATGATCTGCACATGCTCAGATCTTCTGGTGCAGCCTGGGCCTTTCTGTGCTGCAGAGTAAAACAACTCCAGACTCTAGGCACGGTTGTTCAATAACTTGATGCCAGGTAAACTAGCAAGTCACTCAAATTCCTTCTACTCCGTTGTCTAAAAAAGTGAAAGCACCTGGTCTCAGCCCAGTGTGTCCAGAAAAAGAAGTAATCAGATGACCACGAATCTTCTGCAAAGGAAGGTGCTGAAGGACACAGCTGGTACACAGAGGCTGTGGGCTGTGTGCACCAGAGGACACAGGGCAAGAAGGATATACAGAAGATACTATGTGACCTGAAATGAGGTGGAGGCCAAGGCTTAAGACAGAATGGTGTTTTACATAGAGAAAACGTTGTTTTAAATTTATTGTGTCAAAAAAGATCTCATCTTTGACCCAAGGGAGCACAGATTCTGTTTGAGTGAGGTGAGACTAAATTTACCACAGTACAGTGTTGTTTAGTAAAACTAATTGTTTTCTTCAGTGGTTAGCTGAAAACTTGATCTTGGAAATAGAATTAGCACCTGCTCCTTTTTGATATTTTTCCCCATATTATTTCACATTTCCTTTAAAAACTTTCCTGGCATTTATGGGATACTAAGGCCGAGAAAAACGCCATACCCCACATCCTTCCCTCAAGTTCCAGAGTTCCTAGGGAGAGTTTAAGACTCAGAAACCTCTCTCACATGACACATGCCGACCTATAAATGAAAGTGATTTTAATTAATGCAACTGTGGAAATAAGAGGTGTTCTTTTAAAACAGCTTATTTTGCAAAATGGATAAACACACCATGGTCCCTTCACAGAGCGCCTCCAGCCTGTTCACCTTTTCTTGCTTAGCCCACCTCTCCTTATTTAAATAAACAAAAGACCCCTACATTGGTTCCTTTTTGTTTTTTTATAAATATCTGAAAATGCATAGAACATTTACGTATAGTAGTTAGTATACAAAACCTATATCACCTGTCAATAAGATAGTTCCATAAAGCTGTGGGTAATAGGTACTACATGAACACATACTATGGTTATATTGCTGTACCCGACAGGCTGAATTGTTGGTGTGTGTGGCATCAGACTTCGGAGCCCTTGGATGTGAATCTGTAGTGTTCCATCCCCACTGCACATTTCTGTTGTGGATTCCCCTAAAGTTCATGTGTGGTCATGTAACCAGTCACGGAATGAGTGTCATTAGTACCTGTCTTAGCTTGCTTTTCTGACGCTCTGATAAACACCATGACCAAAAGCAACTTGGGAAGGAAAGGGTTTTATTTCACAATCCATGTGGTCACAATCCATCACTGAGGGAAGTCAGGGCAGGAACTC